GTGTAGTGGTAAGACACTCGCCTGGCGTTCCGCGAGCGCTTTGTCATGGGTTCGTATCCTGGCCGGGGAGGATTTACTGGGCGCAAATCCTTAACTGTAGCCTCTGTTTAACGCAACAGTAAAATGTGTACTTGGTAGTAGAAGCAATTCTTCGCGGCGGGGATCGTATTCCAGGGACCTGCCCGAAACACTACGCGTACTAGTGGCTGTACAAGAATGTAACAACTCTTGTATATATCTAAAAAAAAAAAAAAAAAAAAAAAAAAGAGAGTACTTACCGAGACCACTGAACATGACCTTAGTACTGGCTTTACTTGTGTTCACGCTCAGGTCTCCCGAGTACTCTGAATATGTTCCTGTTAGTAACACGTGTTTTTATGAGTAGTACTAGCTGTACTGTGGCTCAGCAAGGCATGTGCATTGCTGAGCCACAGCAACCTATCCCCTGTCTCCCAGTCCTCCCCACCATTACCCCAGTCCTTTTGTCCTCCTCACCGTCCCCCACTCCACCGTCCCCTCGTCCTCCCTGCCATTCCCCCCGTCCCCTCGTCCTCCCCACCATCCCGCACCCCCCTGTCCCCCCCACCATTCCCCATTCCGTCGTCCGATGCATTTCCAAATGATCTGAGATTTCCATCACGGAAAAAATAAGTAGAACAGTTACAAAAACGAAATGAAAAAATAAAAAATAACCTATAATCACGAAATGAACGTTATGGTAAACAACACAGCTCAATTACAACGCAGTGTCACTCAAAATAATTAAATCAAAATTAAAATAAATTGAAATCTATGAAAATTAAATTTATCACTGAAATTGGAAACATTGAAATGGAATCGTAAGATATTTAGTATAGCGTGTGTTGCTCTTACGTGCAACAGATGGCGCTGTTTCTTAAAAAAAAAAAAAAAGATTGATTTTAACCTGTCACAGGTTGGCATCTAAATAGTAGGTATATAAAAACACGTATGTATTCGAATGGAACGTTGTGTCATAATTTCAAAGCAATCGGTGAAGAACTTTCGGAGATTACAGTGTGTGTTGCTCTTACATCCAAAAGATGGCGCTGTTCAAAATCAACGTCTCGTGAAAGAGACGTGTTCGTCTCTTTCGAGATGCCACACCTTCCTGCATGCGTCGCCACGTGGCAAGAGAGAGAGACGCCTGCATGCCATATCATTCCCTCGGAGTTTTGGCAAAAACACAAATTTATTGTTTTATTTATTTTAACGGATTTTTTTGTGCTAAGATTTGTGTTTGAAATATGTGACTTGGAGCAATAAGGGAATGTTCCTGGTGTGTTTGCATTATCGCCACGAGTTAGTTTGAAAGTTGCGAACTGGGAGACGCCACATTCCCCACTCACGGGAACAGCAAGGTTGCGGCATGCGTGCTTTGTTAACAGTGAAGCATGTTGCTGTATACTGCTGTTGGGTGTTCGGGTGATGAGGTCCCTCGCACCCAAGGCCATGTGCTGGCCTTGGCCTCACGGAACAAGTGACGCTCACTCTCGTGTGTGTGTGTGTGTGTGTGTGTGTTTTAGAGTGCATCCGCTGCCTCTCGTGTTTTAAAACAGTTCTGGGTTTACGTTTGATTCTCGGCACGCACCACTCACAAGTTTTGACATTAAACTGCTTTACAAGTAAATGATTATGTTGAAGGTTAATGTGGAAGTGCTTATGTTGAGGCTTGCCTCTGGTGGTGGCGGCCGAGAGTACCGGAGCATAGTTCCCCCTTCACCCGCTTGTCAGGCCTCTTACATGGCCAGGTTTATTTTTATTGGGGAATATCAGTTAGTAAATATTTAATAATTAACAGGGAACAAATGGTCACTCTGAGAAAACGTATGAGAATGAGGTCAAGTGGGGAACATATGCATGTCGTCGCCACCACAGAGGCTGCATTATACAAGGTTACAACATAAATGGAAGAGATTGATACGTGAAGTAAACAAAGAGAGGACAGGTGCTGCGTGACAGGTGAGCCCGGGAAGAAACTCAAGGAGGCAACGCTCTCGTCCACAGGTGTGACGGCCGCGGTGAGGAGTGAGTGCTTCACCCCCCCCCCCCCTACCTTCCCCCCTACGGCTGCCTCATTAGGTGAGGGGTGAGGGGGAGGGGGAGGGTGGGGGGGGGTGTAGCGGCACGTGTGCGTCATCTCACTCCCACACGAGGAATTAGACATGATTACCTGAGAGTGCTTACCTAACAGTACTTGTTAAATTACGCTTGCCCGGCTGGTTGGGCTTGGGCTGGACTTGCCATTAACTAGCCCAAAGGGTAGTGGTGGGGGGCCAGCCTCCGAGCCAGGTGTGTACTCACCTACGGTAACAGGTGTACTGGAAGGGTTATAATCTATGCCTCCAATGTCGTGCTGGTCCAGATCATCCAGTGAGATGTACGTTAACTTTGGCATTGTTTTGATTTACAGAAAGTGCGGTTTGTTAAAAGTGGACTTTAGTTTTAACTTGATCCAAGTTGGGTAGTCGAGCTGAGGGTT